CATGAGAGCGATTGATTGAAGAATTTAACGATGTAATTTTACAAAAATAAAAAAATAAAATAGTAAGATCAACAAAATAAAGAATGATGGTCAAATACTGTTATTATTGGAACTATATTCGATAAAACCTGAGGCAAACAATTTCTTCCTGAGAAACAACCTGCCCTCTAGGTTCGGTTCTAACAGTACTAAGCGTTATACTTAATTTAAACATATCAAAAATCTTCGTCGCACCAAACCCAGTGTTAACAAGTGTTATTTACCCAAAGCTTTCCGCAAGTGCCGTGTAAATGGACCCGATCCATTTTGATCATGCTGCACCATAGATCATTTTTTATTGTACAATAAAATACGAATTAAAACAAAGATAGCAAACACAAAACCAGCAATAAAAATTGTGCTCTCTAACCGTAGCTAAGAAATCATTATGCATACATACATACATTTATGCATATATACATGCATACAAGAGTTCACACTTTTAAGCACACGCTCATGAGTACGTATGAACTCACTTGAATATTTACTTTCATTTCAATATTTTCCAGCTGTAGGTCGTTTAAGTGGATCGTTAATGATGCTAGCTGGTCAACGCGCATTGGTGCAGACGCGTATTTATATATGTAAAATTTATGTATGTATGTATGTAATTGTACGTATTTCAATGTTAAATCTTTTACAGGGGTTTCCAATAGCTGTAAATGCAAGAAGAAAAGTAGATAACTGAAGGAAGGTTAGCAATAAATTTGAGGAATCCGCAGCATAAACGACTGCCGCAGTTATTCGATAAGAATAGATTTTCGAGAAAAATTTTTAAATATCAGGTGTACAACTTTGCTTCCGCTGTTTTTTTTTCCAAAATTAAAAGCTTTATAGCGAAAAAGTGCTTTCAGATATATTATTCAAAGTATTGTCATTCGCTAGTGACAACTTTCTCCAAAATAGCCGGGATTCTGGCTTGAAAAAATGAGATCTCTTTTGACGCTATCCATGAAGCAAACCATTTTTCCAATTCTTCGAGGGATTGAAAATGTTGATCTGCCAGTCCGTGTGCCATCGAACGGAATAGGTAGAAGTCAGAAGGAGCGACATCTGGGGAATACGGCGGGCGGGTCAAGACTTCTCATTTCAGCGTTTCCAGGTACTTTTCGACCACTTTTGTGACGTGAGGCCGAGCATTGTCGTGTTGGAGGATGACTTTGTCATGTCGCTCTTGATATTGTGGTCGCTTTTCTTTTAGCGCGCGACTAAGGCGCATCAGTTGCGTTTGGTAGCGATCTCCTGTTATGATTTCACCCAGCTTTAAGAGCTCGTAGTAAATCACACCGAGCTGATCCCACCAAATACAAATCATAACCTTGGCGCCGTGAATATTCGTTGAAACCACTCCCGACACGTTCTTTCACTTTTCTGAGAGCATTCGATGCGCTTCAGCTGCATTTTTTTTTTTTCGAATTGTAACAGAAAAGCAAAACTTCCCGCAAATGGCGAGAATTAGGCACATAAACGGACATTTTCGAGCGTGAATAATACGAAAACAAGAACAACGGTCACTGAAACAGCGATGACAATTCGTTAGGCACTGTCCACACTCACTTTAAAGGCATTATCATCTATGTATTTCAATCAGCCTCAGCCGGTACAGCCACCTATCGGAAAACGGCGAAAGCAAAGTTGTACACCTGATAGTTTTATTTGAATGAAACTTAACCCAAAGGTAATATTTTGCTTAAACTCACGTAGTGCGACTTTTTTCTTAAGGGAGGCGGGCTCTGGATCAAGCTATTCGTCAAACCCGTGTTCATGGTTCGATTCACTTTATTATTATTTTTTAAATAAAGCTCTTTGGCTAGGTTAAGATATAAAAAAACTTTTAAGAAAAGAATTTAATTTTATTTAGTTTCTTAACAATTGAAATCGATATTGCTTTTTTTCTGGGGCCAGTGATTAATATATTCGAAAATTCGTATTTAGAGTTCGATTTGTCTAATATTTATAATGTAGATAGTGCAATTCCTAATTTTATATGCGGAAACTCTTCTTTTCGGAACCGATTTATTCGAAGCAAAATGTTTTTGATTCGCTCGAGTGCTTTGGAATTTGCATGTTTTTTTAATTTTTTTTTAAACGTTAAAAAGCAAGCAATAAGAAAATTTAACTTAATTTTTTATTTAAATTTATTTTCAATAACTTTTGGATATTGGCTGCACGGAGATTTGAACCCGAGCCTTTCGAATGGCTGTACGCAGTGCTAACCACTCGGCTACCGCGCTAGAGAGAGTAAAAAAGCCAATTGAAAAACGTATTGGAAAAATTTTCAAATTTCATTCGATCGATGTCACAGGTAAAATCTATTTGAAATTTATTAATTTTTGCCATTCCTTCCATCGTCTTAATTAGTATATATTGGGTTGCCCCAAAAGAAACTGGCGATTTTTTTAAAGGAAAGTAAATGCATTTTTTTTTAATTTTAACACAAGCTTTATTCAATTATGTTAGATGACCTTTCGCCATCTTTCCGGCAATATCATTAAATATCATAAAAAATCATAAAACTACTGCCCTTTATCTGCAAGAAACTGAGCGAAGTACAATTTTATAGCCTCGTCATTTTCGAAAGTTTTACTATTCAATGAGTTCTGTAAAGATTGAAACAAGTGGAAGTTTCACGGTGCAAGGCCAGTGCTATATGGTGGCTACATCAACAGTTCCCAGCCAAGTTCTCGCAGTTTTTGGCGATTGACCAAAGATGTGTGCGGTCTAGCATTGTCCTGGTGGAATAAGAGACCTTTACTATTCTCCAATGCTGGCAGCTTCTCGTTGATGGATGTACTCAATTTGTCCAGTTTTTCACAGTAGGCATCCGAATTAAACGTTTGGTTACTTGGAACTAGCTCAAATAATACCACACCCTTTCAATCCCACCAAACTGACAGCGTAATCTTCTTTTGGTTAAAATCATATCCAGTTATGATTTGTTTTAAAATCGGATCATATTCAGTGCGTTTAAGTTGTATATCGCAAGCGCTGAATTTCTTTCAATTCATATTTTTACCAGTTAAGTTTGGTATACTTAACTTCTCTCCAATCTCAGGCTCATATACATGACGATCCTATTCGATGAAAGCCGTAATATCGTTATAATTAACCTCACTTGGCCAACCTGAACGTGGTGGGTTGTCAAGATGTTTTCCAACAAATTTTTGAAAACTTTTCGTAAGCACTCTTCGGTGTACCCTTATTACTTTTGTTGCTTAGATTTTAAGAGGCTCCATAGCATGGACTGCTTTTTGACTTCTGGATCGTACATAGAACTAAGATTCGTCAACAGTAACGAATTTACTAAAGTTTCCAGACACATCATTTAGGAAGAATGAAGCAAAATGCACTCAAGCCTCTTTTTGTTCCTGATTTAAAATTTGTGCTACCCATCGAGCTGATTTCTTCGTGTATCCCAGATGACATTCAAGCCCAATTCGTTAGCAATCATTTCTTGTACCAATCGTGGGTTTTCGTCAGTATTCGATTTCACCAGAGCTACGGTGCAATCGTTCCATATGTAATTTGGCTGTAAATTACGTCGAAACCCGAAGAGAGTCACATGGTGAATTTCAGTTTGCGTTGGTGACCAATCCTCGGCTTTCTTGCGTTTTCTCGTCTCCTTTTTAGCTGATCATTCCAAAATTTGAGAGGAAGGCAAATAAAGTAATTGCCAAGGATTCGATATTTTTAGATTTAACAAAAACGAATTGAAAGTCACGAACTGAACGATTTTTCGTTAATCCCTTCACAATTCTAATAGAAATTTTGTGGTGCTTCTTAATTCCTCATTCGAATTTCGTTAGATTTATAAGTTTTGTTTAAAACGGTAACGGTTAAAATAATGGTTTGTCATAATGAAAAATATTACAAACTATTTTTTTATGTTTTGTTTCAATTATACAATAGGTAGATAGATACTACAAGATCTAAACTCATCAAGGCATAAGGCATCATCGGCTGCCACCATGAAACGAGTCCGAAAATAAACTCTTTCATACAATAGTTGTAAGGTCCCCTAGAACTAACATCAAGCGCAACTCGATACCACGAGCGCTACCAGAGCCACTGAAGGATAAAGCTCTCTCGTGGGTCCGGAATAAAAATCAGATCTGCATGGCGAATTTATTAAGTTTCCTTATGCCACGTTGGTAGCATCAGTTGATACAGAGCGATAAATTCATCCATTTCCCAGTTATAATTGAAATTCGGCGTAGAATCACTCTTGCCAACAGGTTCAACTTTGAATTGAGTAGGTAAATTTGTAGTAGTAGTAGTGTAGTCCTCTCTCGACGAACGAAGATCAAACTCTACACTACGAAGGCGTGAACGAGACAAACGTTTTGGGCAAGATTTATTATCCTTTACGAGTTGGGAACAGCGCCAACAGCGATTTAAGAAACAGCGGTTACGCTGGTTAGGCCATTTGATGTGGATGGATAAGAAAACTCCAACTTTGTAAGTTTTTGATGCAGCATCCGCCAGTGGAAGCAGAGAAATGGATGATCTTCTTCTATTGGAAAGACCAGGTAGAAAAGCACGTGACTGTACTTGGTATTTCCAATTGACGCCAAACTGATAAAGAGAAGAAATGAATAGGACCACGATGTCTACTTTACTATATTCGGGTAAGCGCTGAATTCGCCAATAAAAATGAAGAAAAATGATTGTAGCTACAAAAAAATACAAAACAATTCGAAATATTCATTTGTGAAACACCCATTATATTTGTTTAAAAGTACGCCATACATAACTCATTCCCTGTAAACGTGATCTGCGCGGCTTATCGATTGGAAAACCCTTTATAAATGTAATATACACACACTTATATACACGACTATGCACACATTTGTACGTAAAGACACACCATACATTTCGTGTGGGGCAGCCCAATCTGCGACGGCTTCATGACCAAATCGAAGATTGAATCAAACATTTGTCATCGTTATAAAAACGGTTTTCAAACTTTAAAATCGGTTTATTTCGACTACAGCGCTGGCTGCTAACGGACGGTTTGCCGGTTTGGTACGCAACACAACTGTGCACGGAATAGAAAAAGCACAACAAAAGAAATAAAATATTCGTGAAGGTGAATAATGGTGAAGAGTAGTGGCGTTTTTGTTTTTTTTGACTATTAACCGTTGAGGAGTATGTTCGTTAGCTAACTGTAAACCGGAAATCTATTACTATTTACGTTTCATAACTGCATTACCGGAAGTGTGACAAAGTCAAGGTAGTCATATCGTTATCGTATTGACAATTTTTCACAGTGTTTTGCGAAAGGGCAATATAAAGATTTATTGATTAAAAAAAAATATTCATAAATATATACTCGTATCAATAAATTGGTTTGTATTTGATAATCACAACTAATAATTTCAAAAATATTCAAATGATTAACAAAAAAAAAAAAAACAAACAAAAATTTAAAGCTTCTAAAAAAACTCTCTCTTAATTCGATTTTCAGTGGTCAGTGTTCTTATCAGCTATTCAAAAGTGCTATAAAAATAACCTAAAGATAATTATAGAATATCGTAAATTAAAAATGAAAGAAAAAAATGTTCTTGAAAAATAAAGAAAGAATATTATGGTGGAAGATTAGATACAAAATTGTTTCCCAAAAAGGGCAAGGACAATTAAAATTTCATTAAGTGCAATAAAAGGTTTTTTAATAGGAGCATAATGCAGACAATACATACTTATACAGGCAAAAATACAAATTTTTCATTATAAAATTTAAACCCAGGCATTATGTTAGATGTAGTAAAAAGTAATCCACTATTTATGCATGAAATTTAATGGTTTAATTTCTTTCTTTTCGTATCCATCCTCATTCAAATAGTTCCAAACAATTTTTGTGTGAAATCTTTAGCTCTTGGACAATCGAAAAAGTGCTTACATGACGTCGACGGACTCGACAAAGTCCATGATTTTATCGACATTTTTGACGATTGACCTTCCACAAGAAAAGCTGCAAAATATACTACATTTTCTCTTTGTTAGTGGCCATTTTTGACACAGGCTCAAAAAAACTGCATCAACCAATCACAAAACTGTGAGAAAAGCTTTTTTAGTAAGCGGACTTATATATCGATGAAACCGATCGAGATACAGATAAATAACGCCATCTATTGGAAAAATAATGGATTTCTTTTTACTACACCGACATGTGAAACACTACATAATTCGAATGACCGTCTCGAGAATGTTTGCAAAACTCGATCCGTTTGAGATAGCTTTCGTCCACTTTTTGGCACATATTAGGCGGTAGCGTGTTAGTTAATTAGTTAAAGAGGCTGCTTGATTAAGCGCACTTAGGTCTATTGGGCGGTTGAGATATTTATGTTGGTCCTGCTAAAGAGATTCCTTTCACCTTTTTGTGAGTTTAATGGTTTTCAAAAGAATAATGACGCTTGCCGATTCAACCTGGGCAAGGCAAAACAAGGGAAAACGGACCGTACTGAGTGCTGGGCAGAGAAAGAGGTAGTATTGCACCAATTCCTCCTCATCTATGTATGTCCCTACAATCATTTGGGAAGCAGCCCATCCTTCTGAAATGAGTCCCCACAAGACAGTGTCCGGCTATTGCGCAGATCTAGCTTAGAAGGAGTAGAGATCTTGCTCTATCTTGTCTTGTCACATTACCCGTGGTGTCGCTCTGTAATGTACTGTCTTCTGGTGAAGGCTAGACCTAGCAAATACTTTGCCGAGGAATGCGGTAAACAAACGTCATTTACAGAGTTTACAGTGGTTAGAACTGTTCCCTCTTAGATTAGTTCGTCGGCTACGTAGTTTCCTGGAATGTCCCTTTGGCCAGGGACCCAAACCACGAACGATTCCCTTACAATCGAGAGTTTGTTTAAGATCGCTCTCTATTTGATTGTCGTATTTTAGATTTTATATTTGCATTGAAGATACTGGATGGCAGCCTGGCTGTTAGAATATGTATATTGTAATAGATTGGGAACAAGTATAAGAAATAAGCATTCATGAAACGGCTTCTGCTTGGTATACGCTGAAGTGGTCGTGAAGTCTTTTTAGAGCAAGCGGTTCAGAGTAAACTCCACAACCTACTTTATCCTCTAGAAAAGATGGCTACAGATCTATGATTCACGCGTTCTTTTCTTGGTTTTTGTTGGGAAAGTATAGTCGAAACAGAATGCGAAATTAGTGTAGTCCCACCGAGAATTATATAGAGATTAGTTTTGGGTCGTATCGTATGCGGTTTCTCCATGGTTGAGTTACATTCAGGCCTATGGTGTAGCAGCTCGCATTGAGTTTCTCGTATAGGTCTGCAGGAAAAAGATTAAGCAGAATTTCAAGAGCTTTCGTAGAAGTTGAGAGTAGCCCATCTATAATAATTTCGATCCTATAGATAGCCTTGTCTAGTGCTGGCAACCAAACAGTCGCTCCGTAGAATGAAACGGGTCTTATACACACTTTGTATACCCAGTGTACAATATGTGGTCTTAATTCCGCTTTTTTGTCGATCGGCGCTTTGTAGGCGTATAGGAGTCATAGCTGCCTTACACCTTTCTACTTGGTTCAGGTTCCATGTGAGTTTGAGTCAAAGATTATGCCTAGGTCTTTAACCTCAGTACAACGAGCAGTAATATTGGTGCTTTGAGTAAAGGACATTTAAAAGCAGATGATTTGTACTTTCTAGTTAAAACCAGCAGTAAGGTCTTTGAAGGATTTATATCCAGACCGCTGATTTTTAAGTACTAAAGAGTTAAAGGTTTAACGCACAAATACGGTCCATGACGTAGCCCCAAAATAGGTCCAACAGTGTCAAATCCCACAATTTCTGTGGCCAATTGATATCGCTAAAGCGAGAAATAATTATTCTCTCGCAATAAAGCCATATTCGCTCTTGTTGGGTGACATGCAGCAACCTCTTGTTGAATCCACATATTGTCCAAGTCGGGTTCTTTAAATGCAGACCAACGAAAGTCGGTTATCATACGGCAATAAGGCCCCGAATTGACAGTGCCAGTCTCACCGTTGTCGTCTTCAAAGAAGTAAGATCCAATTACACCTGCTGACCAGAGGGAGCAACAGCCAGAATGTTATTTCTTGGATGTAATGGTCTCTCTTCAATTATTTGAGGATTCGCGTAGCATCCAATGCTAAAATTTTGCTTATTTACAAATCCCCCGTGTGAAAAGTCACACGTTGCTGTGTCGCGAAAGAAAATTTTGTACAAAAAACCGCTGTACACTGTGATGTTGTTTTAGCACCCAATAGGCGTATCTACGGCATTGTGATGGGTCAGCTGGCTTCAGTTATTGTGTAAGGTGGACTTTATGTGAAAGTAAGCTGTATGTCCAAGTAAAAAAGGGGCCGTAATGTGCCGTAAGAAAGTCCCAGCTCTTGAGAACGTCGAGACACACACATTCGGGTCTTCGGCAACAGTAGCGATTTTTCAGGTGGAAAGCGCAAAATTATCATGCACTGACCTTACAAAATCTGTTACCTATTCAGTGTTTTCATGTTTCTGTAAAATTGTATCAGTTGCTTGAGTAGTTGGACGATTATGTGCACCTAAAGCATGAAACATGGAGTCATTGCTTTTGTTTGTAGATTGTGCGGTTGTTAAGCGATCCATTTTCATAAATGCATGACTTTTTACTAAGCCAAAGCATGTTTTGGTCTGACAGTTAAGTTTGGCTATCGCCAAAATACGGCCCTATACTTTTGAAACCACGAAATGGATAACTCTATATATGTATATTATTAAAACAACTAAAACCATGAGTAATTTATGTACAATACTAAAAATGTAATAAGTAGTTTTATTCATTTTTTAAAGGAAATTGATATTACAATTTATTTGTTCTTAATCCGAAAAAAGTTAAAATACGATTAAAGTAAGAATTGGTGTCAATGATTTCGCTAAAGGACCTAAATAAATCTGATAATAATTTTCCTAGAGGGTGCCTTCCTTAAAAAAAAACCCTTCAAGTAAAACAATTTTTTTTATTATGTGGCCTTAAACCGCTTTCATTTATAGCAGTTAAAGTTCAATTAATAAATAAACAATAATAACAAATTCGATGTTATCGAAAAAAAAATCCAGTTCAATGAAATTTCCATAAAATTTCCATTAATTTTCGTACCATCAGTAGTATATCTGTTAGATAATAATTCAAAGAAAAATTAATCAATAATCATATACAAATCTTTTTTGTTAGCTAATGCCTGAGCATACTCATATATTAAAATTCTATTAACCTCAAATAGTGTATTTTAGGCGAACAATAAATAAATTAAACATCAACCCGCACCCAAATTTTTCATTTGACGCTAACAAATTTCTTTGCCAGTCATAAGATTGCATAAAAGACCATCTCACAGCTCCGCCTCTCGTCCATCCTCTTCAATACACCAAAGTGATTATTAAATACAGCAAATACATACATACATACATACATAAATGAAACATAAATTATGTAGTAGCCGAATTGAGTTATGAAGTTGACGAGCAACCGTATGCAAAGTAAAAAAGAAAAAAAAATAAAATAAAAAATAAGCAGAAACATCTTCGCTACAGTTGATTTATGTTTTGTTTTTACTTTGACCATATTGATGGCTTTTTTTTTGATTTTTTACAAGATGATTATGCATACGAATTTCACCTTTCTATGATTTTATAATTAGTAATCGGAGAAAAAAGTAAGGCATTGGAGTAGCAACAAGTTTCCAGCTGCCACACAGGAAATAGCACAAGTGGCACAAGCAAATAATCATGGTTAAAGTGCACACGGATGTGTAGGTGTTGTATACAAATAGTTTTGAGTATTTTTGTTGTAGCTGAGGCTTACAAAACGCCAATTATTTTTTTGTGGCTTTGATATTTTTCCACCAACGTGAAGTGTTTGAAATAATGACAATCGCAATTATCTTTTACAAAAATTTCTATTTCAGTAAAATGTAGTGAGCTTTGTTTTTTTTTAAATTTATGCGTGAAAGCCTTTTTGAATTGGACTCCCTTCTCTTTTTAAAGTAGCTTTTTTGAAATCAAAAACTCTTTTGGTACTTGACTGCCACTGAAGGCGTTTTGGTGCTTGAAAGTAGTGTGTTTTGTTTGTTTGTTTTTTTTTAATGCTTTTTCAATTTATGATGCTGCAAATTAAGATTTACTACTGCTGGATAATCGAAAAATTCAACCAAGAACGGTGATCGAAAACCAGTGACAATCCAGACAGCCATAAACCCGAGAGAGCGATTGCCATAAATTTCAATCAGTTGCTATAAATTACATGGAAAAATAAGAAGAAAATTACTTAATTATTTAAAGCTCATAATAATTAGGCAAAGCAAATTAATATTGTAGAAGGTGGAGTTGTCACATCATATGATTGCTTGTTCTTGCTTCCATTTCACCAAATTACACAAACAAAATACATACATTGGACATTTCGAATCTTTCATCATACAAACAAAATGCAAGGTCTTTTTGTTTTTGTACTCTTGCTAACGCTGTGTGACTTTGCTTTCTAATTAGATTTGGATACAGAAAAACGAGTCAGAAGCATCAATGCTGGAGGAATCTGTACTTTAAAAACTGTTGAGCACTGGCTGCGGTGTAGATATCAACCTCACAGCGATTGAAAACCAGCTCAAATTGTGTGTGATCAAGTCCGAAATGTCCCCTACATACTAAAGAAACGACTTCTGGGTTGGCTGTCTAGATGCCAATTTGTCATCAAAGTCGTAAGCTTAATTTTTTTTTCTCTGGAAACCATATACGAGCATCTTGAAGAGGATAACGGAGAGTCATGTGTCCTTGTGTCCTGCCTAACATCCAAAATTATGGTAAATTACTTTTGAATTAATTTTTCAAACTGCGATTGCACTTCGGCAAAAATTATCAGCCTCTCTATTTATTGAAAAACATCAAGAAGCACAACAAGAACCCATTTGGTTCACTGTTTAATGGCTGGTAATCAAGAAAGTCATCTCTATGAGTAAACTGATGAAAACACACATTTCTTGCAGCTGTGCTGCTTTTAACGTCTACGTAAGTCTTAAAACTTTCCTTAGACATCTCCCGTGGGGCCTGCACGAGTATGGTATACTTCTATGTTCTCCAAGCAATCTGCAATACTCTACGACAAAGGGTATAAAACACCGCGAAGGAAAAGCCCAATATATGTATGTATATTCTTACTATATAATTTTTACTGCCTCACATTTTTGTCATGATAAAGCACTTCTCTGAATTGAAGTGAAGAATGGAAAAATGTGACAGTTTTCGATTACAGAATTGCACGCAATCAATATGAATTACGCACCACATGTGAAAGAAACTCTTCATGAAATGTAAAATATCAGCAATGAGCAGAGAGACATTTCCGACTACTCTGTAGCAGACGAGCCACCTTGAAGTCGAACCATCCCAATCTCAGTCACCGTGTGTTTCTATTAAATAAATTTATAAAACATAAGCAAAAAGTTAAAAAATTCCCACTTTCCTATAAGAGTTAGTAAATCAAAAAGACTTTAGTTTTGATAAGCAAAAACAGTTTATAAATAAATTCGAAAAATATGTTTTCTTACGCCTTTAAATTACGATGGAATTATATTATTGCAATTGGTATAGAAGAAGATATTGTTTCATGAGGATCCTTGGACGGTCTTTTTTTTAATAGATTCCTCTCGCAGTTTTAGAGATATATATGAAGTAGGTAGAACACTGCTACGTTGCAGTCCAGTTCTCAGGGTAGCTTCATGCCGCTCAATATAAAGTTTTCAACTCGACTTTCTACTCAAATTAGCCTCAGCAACTGTCTGCGATCTCATGTTAATTTCATAAAACACACTAAACGGTTTCAGCAACAAGAAATTTGAGATACCTATTCCGTAGGTTCGATCTTTGTAGCAAAATTACGAATTAGGACTAAATATTTTGGGATCTGTAATTTGGAAATCAGCGTTGTCAAAAATAAAATTCTGAGAAATTGATTTTGAAACCAAAAAAAAAAAAAAAAAAAAAAAAAAAAAAAAAAAAAAAAAAAAAATCCCTCAAGATTTAGGAACTTAAGAATTATATGGCCGGTATATTTCATTTATGACGTAGGTTTGCTCATTTTTTAGTATTAAGATAGCATGTTCGCAAAGCCATTCTGCGGGTTTATTGTGATTATTATTGTCGGTTGGGTAAATTTTTAGTTTAAAGCTCTTTCTTTATTATTCAGTTCTGGGAAATCACCTTTTCCTATTTCAGCAAACAGCTGTGACAGCTGTCCGGCAGTAACATTGCTTCTTAAATAGACTCTCATATTTTTGGTGAGGGTCAGAAGAGTAAAAATAAACCAGCATTCTAAATATCAATGTAACGTTAGCAGCTCATTCCGACAAAAATAGGTTTTATGTTTTTGTTTAGTTTGGTGTTTTATTCTTATTTATTTTATGTCGCCTTAAAAAAATACTGATGTTACTAAATAAAGGCTGAGTTTTTTCACTGAAAGGCACAAATGAGATCGGTTCACACATGGTTTAGCTTCGTCCGCGTTGGTGTTCCCCTAAGCAATAATGGTAAAGACATTGGGAAATCATCTGGTAAAACAAATTAGTAACTCCTTCAAGAGTTTGGAAGCAATTTTAGGCGATGCGACCACTAAGGCGATATAATGTTTGCTTTTCACTTTGGCCAACAATAAGTTTAATGGAAAAGTCTTTCCTGTACCACCCGGCACATCGCAAAAAAGAGACCTCTGCTTCGATAATTTAAAAATTTTTGCAATAGATATGGCGTTGCGCATTTTTTATAGAGACTTCACTACTTGAAACCACTTTTTCGATTTGGGTCCAAGGCACACTTCCCAAAAAATCCTTTATTATCGGAGGCATACATCATAGAGAGAGAATTTTATTGTATACTAGCTATTACCACGACCACATGACCTGGCCAGCGTAGCCGCTGCTTCTTGATTCGCTGAACTAAATCAATGTCGCCGATCAACTCATACAGCTCATCGTTCTATTGTCTGCGAAATTCGCCGTTGCCAACGCACATAAATCTTATGCAAAATCTTTCTTTCGAAAACTCCTAACGCCAACTCATCAGATGTTGTTACGGGAGCGATGAGGGACTTGAGTTTGGTTTTCGTTCGTCGCGTCGGGAGAGGACTTTACTTTTCAATTGCTTACTCAGTCCAAAGTGGCACCTTTTGGCATGAGTGATTCTGCGTTGGATTTCCAGGCTAACATTGTTGTTGGTTTTAATAGTGGATCCTAAATAGACGATGTTATCTACGACTCCGAAGTTATAATATATTTACTTAATACTTGAGGGAATACAAAATTTATTTAAATAAGCCAGTAACAGGTCCACTTCCCGGAGCGAATAGTAGTTCTCCTGCTACCTATGTGCCCAATTCCAAGTAAATCTAACTATAAATAAGATTTCTTTCGAATCGGTTAGTCCGTTATCCATTTCCTGAAATTTTTTTTCGTAAAAGCCTTGTCAGAAATCATAGAAGCAATTTGACGAAATTTCAAGTCTATCGGTCGGTAACTTTTGGAGAACACCTGGACATAAGTGTTTTTTTTTCTAATAGGTCACTCCCGGGTTCACTTCCTGAAAGTTTCTCCTCTTGAACCATTGAAACAATCAAAAAAAAAAAATTTAATTTATTTAACTTCAAGTCAATGGGCGACTTTTGTAGATTTCCAGATTTTTTCAAAGGGACATAAGACTTTTCGAATAAACAAATCAGGCAGAAAAAGTACATAACAACGATTAATTTTTAAATTTAAATTAATTATTTATGTTAGTACGACACCAGTATGAACCGAATCCTTCCAAATGGCAGATCCACAACGAGCAACATCTCTCTTGAAATCGGTTCAGCCTTTCTCGAACCTTAGCCTCACTAGCAAACAAACAAACATTTATTTTTATATATTAAAATAGATTTTTATATAACCGCAATTTGAAAAAAAAATAGGTTTGCTGCTCATGACCCCCCGGATGATGGATACTAAACACTTTGCTACTGCGGCCACTTTGTAGAATAACAAAATAATTCAAAATAAGTAAATGTAAATTAAATTATAATGACTAATCGTTTGTGCTAAATTGGACTTTCCTAAAATCACCAGTTCCTGGTTAGTCACACAGAGATATCTTAATTTACCTTTGCATTAATTGCTTTTAAAAGACTGAATTTAATTAAAAGTCGTTTTGTATTGAAATCAAGGTAAATTTAAACTGAATTTATTCTTTATTGTATCACCTTGAACGGAATTCGCAAACCTTCTATATTCATATACTGATTTCTGAGTGTGCGTGCCCGTGTATGGCCAACCGCAAGAAAATGCCCATTCTTAATACGTTTAATTAATTAATCCAAGTGTTACTAAGTGCAATATTTTGATTGAACGCCTACGTCAGAGGCCTGGCTCTTTTTCATACCACTCGTCGCGGTACTTTACTCTTATTTGTATTACCAATTCACAGAGATTTCGTTAATGAACTTAGGAATTTGCATACGAATGCCAGTGTAAAGATATTTAGGTAAATAAGCGTGTGTTGGCTAATATTAGCACCGTTCGTGTGATTTAATTAGAAATCTGTTTAAGTTTAACTATTAAATCCGTTTATTTGTTATGAATTAGCAGCTTTCATTTGCTTAGCCCAACGCTATAAATAAATAAATGTTTTTTATTTACATACACATACACATACAATGTTTAATATATTGACTTTTGTTTTATCTTTGGACTTTTACACTTTACAGCTTTTTACAACAAACACATCATACATATATACAGCACACACATGAAGATGCATTTCACACATTTATTACCTCATCTTACGGCGGCAATATTTTATTGCTTCCTCATTTGGCACACGCCCACATTGGCTCAGCAGACATTCGTCAAACTGTGTGATGTACAAAACTTCGATGATTATCTCGCGCAAACGGGGAAAGTCTATAAAGATGAGAAAGATCGTCAATATCGTGAATCCATATTTATTGGCAAGAAATCACTTGTGGATCTAACAAACAAATATGCTGCTTCAGGGCTGAGCTCATTCCAATTGGCCATTAACCCGCTGGCCGATTTAACGCGTCGCGAGGTGGGCAGGATGACAGCGTCGAGGATTACATTTATTGGCGAGTGAGTACGAATTCGATGAAATTAGCATTTTAACCACTTTTTTTTTAGCTATAATGACTGCAGGAAGCAACGAACATCCTGTTCACCTTACTATGTAGTATAATATTTACCCAGCTTGCCTCTCAAAAGGGGAAGATCCCCTATGTGTAGACCAAAGCGGTAGTAATATTCATACCAAAGAGAGGCAGGAAAAGTCATTTGAATAAAAATGATTTTCGGCCAATAAGTCTCACAGCTTTCCTATCCTAAAATCTTAGAAAAAAAGCTCAACGTTTTTATACGCCAAGGCATAACTCCAAATAGCCAACTGAGAAACCAGCTCCAAGAGCAAATCTCTTTAAGTATGTCTTACAAGGGATAATTGCGAATGTACTCTGGGAAATAAGTCACGAGGCGGAGGCAGTGCATTTTGTGAAATCTCTTTTAGTAAACAGAGAAATTTTTGCTGAATTAGAAGGCACATAAGTTACCAGGTTTGCCAATAGAGGAGGAGTTCCCCTTGTGCGTGCCGATGATATGGCCTTCACAGTCATTGAAAAACTCCAGGTTTAAGCGATCTGCTGCAAGATACCCATTAAGTAAGTAGCTGGTGCAGTGAGTGCGATCTGGATGTAAACCCTTCATAGACCGATTTTTCAGAGCGAAGGCGGGTCATCTAACTACAACGCTTCGTCCCAGAGACGGGAGAAGGCCTTCAGGTCTTTGCCACTAAGTCAATATTCTTGGGAAATCTCATAAAAAGGCGATCTATTAAATATGAGGTTAACGGAAGGAAGACTTTATTTTGCCTATCGTGTGTGACCTCTGTCAAGGATACCCTACTTTCCATAGACTTCAATATCGCAGAAGAGACGAAAATAATCACGTCTAAGGAAACTTATGATGTTATGGTTTTCGTATCGTATCGTGATCAACAATGAGTTTTTTGAGATTTATTAAATGAAGAACAAGTGTGAGAGTTGATTTTTGTTGATGCTACTGTTGATCAGTGACCAACGCATTTAGGTCAATAATCCCATTGTGTTATCGCTGTGAGGCATCTGTCTTCACCTTCTCAGATGTTCGAACTATTCATTGTGTCTTATAAAAGTAACGAATTACCAAATTGTGCTGATACTAGCTTAGGGAGATAGCCGAAAACTTCAGGGTTAGGCAGTGACAGAGATAGTGTTCAATAAAACAAGTGTGAATAAAAGAAAATAAAGAACATTTTTTGGAATATTCTTTTTCATCCTTAAGATATCCTTTTGATAACTATTTCTTCTCTTATTAAAGTATAGTGTGACCCCAAAAATCTCTATAAGCAAAGCTGTATAGGTAACAGTAATTTTCTCGCTCTGAGTGCCTCTCCTGCCTATACCTCCATAAGCGATAATTTAATATTGGCAATTTACAGCGATTTCGATTAAAAGGGCTATTTTGATATTCAAGGAAAAATGGCATTTTTTGAGACAAATAATCGGATGTTTATTTCTATGTAAAGAAAAATAAAGGCCATTAATAATGGAAAAGAATATTATTCAAATGTCCGCCACGACTACACTTAAAGTACCGTATCCTTTTTATGCAATTTTCCGTCACCAAATCGCAAAGGTGCTGCTGTATGCCCTCAATAGCATCATGATTTCTATCTTTGAGGTCTTGAATCGACTTTGGCCTGTTGGCGCATATCTTGTTTTCATATGGTCTCATAGGAAGAAGTAGCAAGGTGTTAAATATAAGATATCGGTCCCTAATTTTACATCTTCGAAAGGTAACACGGTGCGCAAACTTTGTCCTTAAAGATCATTGGTTTTGTTGCTTGTGCAGCACGTAGCTTGTCTTGTCAAAAGTAAACGTTGTCCCAATCAACATCATCAAATGCCGGTCATAAAAAATTATTCATCATTACTCCATTACGAAATCCTTTCACCGAAACTTTTGCTCCAGTTCCATTTTTGAAAAAGTAAGATACAATGACCCCAACGGACCATAAACCGCATCAAACAGTTACTCGTTGAGAATGAACAGGCTTTTCAACAATAAATCTTGGGTTTTCCTTGACCCAGATGAGACAGGTTTGCTTATTGACGTATCCATCGGGATGAATATGGGTCTCATCAGTCAAGATGATTTTTTGATTTAATTACGGATCATTATCATGCATTTGAAGGGCCCAAACAGCAAAGATACGATGCTGTTGATGACCGGCCGACTTGAGTTCTTGTGTTAAATGAGCTTTATAAGTCTTAAGATCCAATTCTTTTTGCAAAATGCTCAATTCCAAAGCACGACGGATAATGAACTAGCCTGTGTTTTCTTCAACACTTTAATCTACAACCGCAATATTCTCAGTTATATATTTAAGCGACGTGCACGTGTTGTATTCTTCACATCACTTACTTGTTCCAACAGTTCTATTTCTTCCCCAATTTCTGTATTGCGGTCCGACAAGGTGCTTCACGACGAAAAATTTTTGGGTTTTATGAACCGTCTCTGAGTTTATAGTAAATTTTAATCATTTCAGTGAGTTGTTGTAGCTTACATTGTTCCAGTTTTACCAACGACGTAGTTTTTAGTTGTCAAATGTCGAAAATTTACAGCTTCAAAAGTGACATCTACCGGAATAACTGGTAATTGCAAATATCACCTGTTTTTGGAAACCCTTAATGAATCATTCTTTATTTTTCAGTAACTTTGTGAAATTTTTGCTTCTTTCTCTGGTTCGAACAACCGTTTTCAAATCGTTTAAGTAATTTTTCATGTTTAATACAGTTGATGGTTTAATTAAAAATAATTTTCAAACGAAAAATAAACGCGTTGCCTATAAATGAATCAGACTGCAACTGTGCCTCTACCTCTATTGTTTTACCTTTTATTGGTTTTCCCCACCATCATTTTGTTTCTAATTAAAGCCAAAAAAGTATTACAAATTTTAAACTAAAATACACCAAAAATTCATTAATTAAATGAATCAAAAATAATACTTGACTCTTTACTATTGTAGGGAAATCACCTCGAAACATACCAACTTTGTCACTGCCAAAGCAAATATTCAAAATTTGCCTGACTCATTCGATTGGCGCGAAAAAGGTGGAGTCACGCCGCCCGGCTTTCAGGGTTTCGATTGCGGCTCATGTTGGTCATTTGCCACCGCTGCTGCGCTCGAGGGTCACCTGTTTCGCCGGACCGGCATTTTGGTGCCACTTTCACAACAGAATCTGGTCGATTGCGCTGAGGAGTATGGTAATATGGGCTGTGACGGCGGCTTTCAGGAGTATGGCTTTGAATATATACGCGATCATGGCATATCGATTGCGAACAATTACCCATACACACAAATGGAGAATGCCCAATGTCATCGTAACGATACGGGAAAGGGTGTACAAATACGTGACTATGCACGTATCAAGCCGGGTGATGAGGAGAAAATGAAGGAAGTCATTGCAACGTTGGGGCCGTTGGCTTGTTCCATTAATGGTGCGCCTATTTCTTTTGAGCAATACATGGGCGGCATATATGATGATAATGAGTGCAATCAGGACGAGGTGAATCACTCGATTGTGGTGGTTGGTTATGGCACCGAGAACGGTCGAGACTATTGGATTATTAAGAATTCATATTCGGAAAATTGGGGTGAAGGTGGCTTTATGCGGCTACTGAGGAATGCGAATAGTTTTTGTGGTATTGCCAGCGAGTGCAGTTATCCAATTTTATAAAAAAAAAAAACAAAAAAAATGTTAGAGAGGCTGGTTTAAATTATTTTCAATTAACTAACGATAGTATTATATTAGTTTACGGTTGCCAGAAGATTTGTAGAGAATTTTTTTATGTTAATTTAGTGAAAAGAAAGTTGGTTATGAGATTATTAATACTATGTACATATTTATATTTATACATTGTTAATAAAATGATTTTATTTTTAATATACAAAATTGTATAAACTTTTTCTATTAATTTTTTGTTAATTACTGGTTCCTTACGGTTTACTACAGTAGGATATATGGCTACTTACAAAAAAAAAAAAAAAAAAAAATCTGCCCAGATTTGGAAAGAAGTGTAGATCACTCTATTAATTGGAAAAACATCATCTCATATCACAAACCGCTTCAGGGGCTGATGGATTTTTGTGCGGAACAATGTATTCGGAAGGGCTGGTATCCCCTGCCGGTCTTTAAAGTAGATATTTAAATAGAACATACGATTTCTCACCAAAAATTCTGAGAGATATCAGCATTTTACCAGTTTCGTATGAGGAAGGAGTCTCAAGAAAGGAATCTCAATGAAGCTTTGCGTTTTTTTTAACCACCCGCCAGTATCTATATATAAAGCAGAATCTCCCACGAAGAATATTTACACGTTCTTGCAGATGCCTTTAAATCTGCTGACGTATGTCGATGATATTAATATTGGCATTGGTCCCAATCAAACCAAGTATATGTGTCTAGTAGAACGAGGACAAGATGAAATAACTACTGTCATCACGTCATCATCGAACATGTAATTGAAGTGTGAGCCTGAAAATCAAACGACTGAGCAGGCTTCTGATACGAGTTTCTCATTATTCAAATTCTGCTCTATGATGAGTTGGCGTTAGGAGCTTTCAAGGGAAAGACTTCGCAAAAGATATATGATCCTTTCGGGAAGGACCTTGCTACACTTGGTGCGATTGGCGAACAGAAGAAACGACTGCCGTGCTATTGTTCTAAATAATAAATAAAATATAATAATTTAGGGAAATTGAACTCATGATGACTGATGCGTATGTAATCTTCGGAATAACGTCTTAGTTTCAACGCACTCATATCTACCTATCTAATTTTTACATCATTAATTTCGCACGGGGTTACAACTATGGAGACATTTTAGATGTCCTCATAGCAGGCACTTCCTCAGTTCACCTCCATCAGCCAATCGAGAGAGATCTAGCCCAAATGTGTGGAAACAAATGAGAGCATTAGCAACGGACAATTATCGGTCGCACATATGTGGAAGACAGCGTCAAGGCCGATCTTGTTGGCTCGTTCTGGTGAGGCTATAAAATGTGACTCAACTATGTTCCTGTTAACACATAGACATCAAGGAATTGAAGCAGGCTAAAAAGTTACTTCCAAACAAAATGGGCGATTTTCAAAAACTAGGTACAGTGAAAACGTCTGAGTGCAGAGCATGAGCAGAATGCTTGAAGACAAAAATGCTTGATTGCATTACCAATTAGTTTAGCTGTATGTGAAGTGTCATGCCTTCTATATAATGTCCAGTGATGTAAGAAAGCAAGAAAGTTCGTTGAAGCAAGTGAACGGTTTGCGAAAGCTCCTCGAATTTGTGGTATGCGTTTTGATATTTTCCCAATAAATGGAGGGACGTTCAGTTTATAACAAGTCACCTCCCAACATCCGATGGATTTTTATGAGCAACCTTTATTTTAAGTCAGCAAAACCTTCGGAGGGGTTGACATGCCCTGCTGATTGGCGAACACACTTGGAACAATTAATAAGCTATGATTTTGGTTATAGATTTAACCAAGACGCGAACCCTGGTCTTCAGGCTATTACGGCCATCGGATCTTAGCCAACAAAATAGCCAAGTACTTCGAAAACCTGCTGAGTGATCTGCTTTGCAACTTTCCTATTTTCTATGACAAATAAATTAACAAGTCGTCAGTCTGCGGTGGGCTGAGATTTTCGCTGCTCAGTAACAAGAAATACTTATGTGTGGGAGCAAATGGCAGAAGCGATAACATTAATAAAATCTGAAAGTAATTTAAAGGTATTTGGCTCACAGGTGGCACTTGACGACAAACTGCTTATAAATATTAGAACCTTATCAAATTTGTAATTATTAAATTGGGCTATTTCAAAAATTGTTTTTGATTTTTAAAACTTTTTTCTAAATATGATTTAGCATACAAAAATAATTACTCAGCGCCGATTCACTTCAAGTTAGGCGTATGGGTAGGCATATTTTTACACACATACATCGAAGAGCCCACCTTTGACCTTATAAAAATTCACTTTTGTTTTACGACTTCTCTTTGTTCGGTTCTTTGACATATAGCGTCCTCGTATAAACACTCAATATATACATAAATATGTAATATATTATATACACATGCATTTTAAAGATTTATTAGCGTCTGATTACATGCAGACGCCATAGCAATAACAAGATGTTAATGAGGAATAAATAGAATTAACAGTTGTGAAACCTCATTATCATATTTTCTATAAAATGTATGTAAATTAAAAAATTAATAAATTGAAAAAAAATAAATATATTAATTATTTCGGAACGCTTATCGGAAACGCGTGCATGGACCCCACATGAAACAAACAAACACTTAGCACAGCATAAGCGCACAATCAGAGCCTCGGCCTACTAAACAAAGCTTAAGGTGTAGTATAAATCATAGCTCCGGTGTTAACAGCGCTAGTATTTTGAAATTCACCGCTCAACACTCAAGTTCAAGATCAGAATGAGCTCTTTCTTCAATACCACACACTTCAAGCGTTCACTGCTACTTGTCTTTTTATTGATTGTAATTGTTCACAGCCGGTATTGTGGGTTGGGCGAATGCAGTAATGAAAGTTGGCGGTTGTACAAGGTTTGTAGTACACAAGGAAGCGAAAGAATTGTTAGAAAATTTATATATTTTCCAATTGATTTGTGCATTTTCTTTTTGTCTCTAAACAGATGCAGTTTAAGAAGCAATACAATTCCATAGCCGAGGATGATCATCGGCGGCAGATATTTTGTGGAAATATAAATATGATCGATGCCCATAACGAGCGGTACAAGAGAGGTGAGGTGACTTTTGAAATGGGTGTTAATCAATTCGCGGATTTGACGAGTGAAGAATTTCGACGCTGGTTGCATACGGGCAGTATAGATAATGGAAGTGTAGTGATCGCTAGAGTTTAGAGTGTGGTCAACGTAGTTGTCTGCTAACCAAAGAATAACAAATTTTACTTGTTATAGTATTTACTCATATTTTTGTATATGCATTAGTATAATTAAACAAAAAATATTAATAAATTTTCATAGCCTCAAAAGTTTTAAGACTCTTTATGAAACATAAGTATTTATAACAAAAACTCAAAATCAATTTTTAACTCGGATAACTTGTAGCCTAACAATCATCACTTTCTTGTATTCGAATTTCACAAGGAGTGCAATAAAAAGCATCACAGCATCTCTACAACATTCATTTGGTAGGACACTAGTAAAATAATTTGCACATTTGATAGATCCTCTCTTATCAGAGAGTTTCATTTTGCAGAGTGGGCTCAATTCGATTCAGCCTGTTGTTTATACTTCATGCGGAATATCAGTAGGATCCGAGACTTCATTGATATATTCCAGATGTCTTAATAAATCCGAGGATTATGTAAATGGCATAAATTCTTGTGCTTATACGTGCTTAAACGTAGCACATCGTCAGAACTCAGTTGCCTATTACTTTTCACTTTACTCGTTAAACTCATTTTGAAATACGGTTCCGTTGTATGAAATCCACACAATCCATTCCTACATAGTGAGCTTCATTTTAGCATCCTTATAAGATCATCTAGTCCCTTTGGCCCTTGCGTGAACATAATAATTCATGCCATTGAATTGGAAGTCGGTTTTTTGTATCTTTATTTAGTCGTTTGGACTGGTCTTGCTTTTGGCCACCGATATGTTGAATTTTTCGTTTCAGTAGGTTCATCGGCATCTTTATTTCATGTATTGCACTCGTAAGTTTATTCGTTACATGATCGCCTTCTTCCTTCGTAGAGATGGTTTTTTCTATTTGGGTAGCTCCAAGTGGCGAGAGGCTTGCCCATCATAGCTAAAATTTAAGCTTTTTTAACACTAGATCGGCTCAAATGATCAAAAAAGCTGCTCCGAGACTACCAAAATTCCTAATAACCTTGAGTGCATCAGAGGATTCTAAATACGAGATGGGGTCCTACATATTGTACGGAGTTAGACGAGCTTTCTTATTTACATATCTTGCTTTTTGTCTCGTCTTCGCAGGCAAACACTTTTTTTAAAGACATCTATGATATAACTGTCTACGAAAACCTGCTTGTTCTTTGGATATTAATTCAAGTGTTCTTTGCCGAAACCATAAAGTCTGCGCCAACTACCGTCCAATACGCATCCTTAATATCAAATATAAGTTCCTGCAAAACCTATACTACTCTCATGTTACTAGGGACTGTCATTAACACCAATAATAATGTCGGCCTTGAGATCCAACGGAGAACAACTCTTGCCAACAGGTGCTACTTTTGTGACAAACATCGAAGCAAAGAGTCTAATGGCGCGCTGTTGTTAATTCGATTTCCACTCCAACGATGATGATGACGATCTACCAGGTGTAATAATTAAGTAATGAAACTGATCGTATAAAAACCGTATATTTCAAAATTATTTTACAACTCTGCCATCCCCTTTAAATTGGTCCCCTTGGACAGCTATACAACGATTCCAGCGCGTTTTTCTTGCCTCGTAACATTTCTGGAACACTTCGACTGGGATGTGCGCGAGTATTCTGGTCACGACCACCTGGATGTCCTCAACCGACTCAAAATGACAACAAATTTTCTACTAGAAAACAAAAAAGAAGTCACAGGGTGACATATCGGGCGAATAAGGCAGTTTTTGAAACACCGCGATTCCTTTAAAGGGCAAACACTGGGACACGCTGAGGGCGGTGTGGCACGGCGCGTTGTCGTGATGAAGGACCAGGTACGAGCGATGTCTGGGCGCACCCTGTTGACTCGTTATCGCAATATTTCGAGTAGTTGACGATAGTTGACTTGATTTACGGTTTGCCCCGGTGGAAGAAATTCTTTATAGACGATTCCATGGCTATCAAAAAAAGCAATAATCATCGTTTTCACCTTCGAATTGATCATGTGAGCTTTTTTGGGGTGGGGGCGTGCGGAGTCAAGCATTATAAGCCTTGGCGTTCGTTTCCAGGTTTTTCGAAGCTGTTTCTTCAAGTTTGGTGCGAAATTTTATCGCGAAGCGTTGCTTTTGATTTCTTTTTTCCATTTTCGTGACGAGCACCATGTATACAAGTTTACTCAACACGACACAGCTGGCGAATTGCACAAACTAAAGCGATGGCAAATATTTCAATGGTTGCAGAGTTGGGTCAAGGGCTACCTGAGTGGTTGACAATCATCGGTAATATTCGGACGGGAAACATCGAAGCCCAGGGAAATCAAACAGGTGGCTCAGCAGTGTGGTATCCTCTCCCCACACCGTCCTTAGGACAGCGACAGGAAACCTCCGGATGTCGCCAGCACCACAATAGGTATCTTATCGAAGCTGAACTACTGCCTAGGCACATCAGAAAGGGAGTAATCGACATGAAGAACACCATCCAGCAATACATGCAACAACCGCTGGACAGGACGGCGCACAGACAGGCATTGAACGCCATTCACCAGGAGTCAGTTAACACCTTCAATGACTCCCTTCACGTGAATGGCGTGCTCTGAGAAAAACCACCACTCATTGCAGACAACGAGCTCGAGCTGCCCGCGGTATCTTGGCTCAATTTAGGCCTGGATACTGTAGCAAGTTAAACTCCTACCTACCCAGACTCGACCCCAGCATATACAACGTATACTCTGACACTAACCACCTATTCATTCCATACCCCGTTCAAACGACTCATCCAACTTCCCTCTTCCTCTGGTCCAATCCCGTCGAAACAGCACATTTCCTGGACCTCCCACTAGATGACCTCGGCGACTTACAATGATTAAACCTGAACGTTTAGGGTTAGCGAACCGCAACAACAAAACGACTTATCTATGGAAAGGGGAAGGATGCCAGGAGAAGAGAAAGGGAATTTCAAGGTCAAAGGATTACCACAATCGCGGCAATAGAATCAGTCTCATTACTTAATTGCCACACCTCGTATGCCTGGCTGCAGAGCGCTCTTGCTCAATCATTATTATTATGTCATGTATTTTCTTTCAAAATCTTAACGTAACATAATTCTCCGAAGAAGACACTTTAATTCTTAGCCGCTTTATGACCCTATGGAAATATAGTTCTGTATAAATATCACGGTATGAATCAAACTCAATAGACAACAAGTAAACTTTATACTTTCCAGCGTCGACAGAATGAAGAGAGGCTCTTATCTACGTATATCTATTCTTAGGGGGGGGGGTCTAAAATGATAAACACTTTTCAAAAAAAGATAACAGTGAATTAGTGTTTTCTTTAATTTTATTAATTTACTTTATTTCTTTTCTTTTAATTCATTTATTCTTATACATGCGATAATAATATCAACTGAACAATTACAATACTAAAATATTTATAAATATGTATGCGTGAGTACTTGTCAATCAGCGGAAAATTTATAATTTCATATAATTTACTTTTTATTCTTTATTTTACCTCTTGTACCTTTTTTTATAATTTCTTTGTTGTTCTGGTTGTTGTTGTTGTTGTTGTTGTTGTTGTTGTTATTGTTGTTTGTATATCTATTGTACGCGTAAATTTTACACTTTTATTGTTTACTGTGTTGTTGCTAGATAGTTTCTTTTTAATTTTCGCAGTTGGGCTTAGTTCTCGTTTTAGGATTGGCTTATACCTTCTGTCGCATTACACTTATTATATATATATATATATATATGTATATGTATATATATTTGATCTAATTTTAGAACGCACATCTACTACAGGTAAATACATGAAACTACATTTGTATTTATACAATGCATACTTACCTATGTAAGTATATACTTTGCATATATGTATATGTGTATATAAATTATCTGTATATGTATGTATGTTCAATATGAAATTAGTTTATGAAAATTAATTAATTTTGTTATGGCTAATAACTAAATAAAAAAAATTAATTGTTAAAAATTCTAAAAAGTTTGGTTGTTATTGCAATTTGTTTTGCCTCAACAAAAACAAGAATTTCTAAACTGGAATTGAGATAATTTGGACATTTAAATTATTTAATTATTGGATTATTTAAATTAAACATAGATAGAGTCACATATGTATGTATGTAAGAACCTTCTTTATAAAATGCAAGTTTGGTTGAAAAATAATAATAAAACTGTTTACTACCGAATTCTGCCTTTATTTACATACACACATACCAGTGCATACATATATGTATTTATATGATATAAACTCTTTGTTTACAAAATGACACACAATTTGGGTAAATTTTCATAAAAAAAAATTGCTAAATAATACATTTATATTGCTGTATGTTTATATGTTTATAAGAAAAAATTCTTAGAAAGGCCTTTTGTTAATGAGCTAATAAAAATTAATATTAACAAATAAGGAATATGATAACAGTTACTATCGTTATCATAGTTATTCTTTATGAAACAAATAATGTATTTGCAAATATGTATATATGTACATATGTATCTACACACACTAATTTGCTCCAGAGTATAGGTTTATAAACATATATATTATCCGATTTTATTTTATTTGAATTTATTTTACCGCGACCGCCGGTAGCCGAGTGGTTAGCATTGTGTACTGCCGTTCGGAGGGCTCGGGTTCAATCCCCCGTCAAAAGTTATACAGAATTAATTTAAATGAAAAACTGAGCTAACTATTCTAATTGCGATCGCCCTCGGTATGTTAACACCTCCGGAAGCGGCTTAGTATAAGCTCTAAGTACTTCCATTTGTTGGAAAAACATCAAGGCGTAAAACCACAAATTGGAGGAGGAGCTCGGCGGAAAATCGCTTCAACGGTTTTCTGTTCATTTCTTTTTATTTCTTTTTTTTAATTTTTCTTCGTGTTATTTAATACTTTTTAATTTAACTTATTTTATTTTACATTATTTATTTAATTTTTTTTCACTTTATTTTAGTTTATTTTTTATTTTATTTTATTTTAATTTAGTGTGTTTTACTTTTTTAATTCATTTTTAATTTTTAATAAAATGATTTAAATTTAATTTTTATTTTTGTTTATTTTATTATAATTTTAATTTAAATTATATCATTTAAATTTTATTTATTTAAATTATTTGACTTCATTTGATATTATTTGATTTTATTTTGCTTTACTTCATTTTAAGTTTTTCATTTTAAATTATTTATTATTTTATATTATATTGTTTTACTTCATTAAATGTATTTTAATTATATTATTTTATTTTACTTTATTTCACCATATGTTTTTTTCGTTATTATGATTAATTTCATTCCTTTTATGTAATTTTATTTCTTTTTAATTAATTGATTTTATCTTTATTTTACTTCATGTTATTTTATTTTATTTAATTTATTTTATTTTGTTTTGTTTTATTTATTTTATTTCGGTTTATTTTATTTTGTTTTGTTTTTTTATTTTATTTTATTTATTTTATTTTGTTATGTGTATTTTTTTAATCAAATTTAATTTATTTTGTTTTTTTTTATTTTACTTTATTTTGTTTAATTTCATTTTGTCTTTATTCATTTTATTTTATTTATTCTATTGTAACTATAGTTAAATTATATATATTTTTGATTTTTAATAATGCGTTTTTATCTTACATTATTTTACTTTACTTAAATTTGATCATTTTTATTTATATTTATTTTATTTTACATTTTTTTGTTTAATTTAATTTAATTTTATTTTGCTTATATTATTTTTTTATTTAGTTTTGCTTATGCTATTTTATTTTATTTAGTATATATTAATTAATTTATTTTTTATTATGTATTGTTTGATTTTATTTTTTTTTATTTTATTTAACTATATTTTATTTTATTAATTTTTCTTATAATTTTTTTTTCTTATAATTTCTTATAATTTTGTTTTATTTCATAACATAATATAAAATATGTTAGGTATTTAATGTTTATTAGTTTATTTAATTTTATATTTTTATTTTGCTTTATTTAATTTTTTTTGTGTCTTATATTATTTTAATATTTATTTTTTAGTGTATTTCATTTCATTTTGTTTTATCTTATGTTATTTCATATAATTTTATTTAATTTTCATATATTTTAATTTGTTTTGCTGTATTTTACTTTTTTATCTCATTCCATTCAATTTTATGTTATTTTATTTAATTAAATTTAATTTTCACTGTTGTGCATTTATTTTATATTCTTATACTTTATTTAAATTAGCTTCATTTTTATTTAGATTCATTTTATTCCATATCATATTTATTTATTTTATTTAATTTTGTTAATAATTTTTTTAAATTTAGTTTTATTTATGTTATTTAATTTAATTTATATTAATTAGTTCATTTCTCATTATTGTTTTTTTGATTTTTTTTTTAATATTATTTTATTTAAGTGTATATTATTTCATTTATATTTTACTATTCTTTATTTTATTTCATTACATTATGTTGTCTAATGTTTTTTAATTTTCTTTTTTTATTTTTTCATTTTACTTTACTCAATTTTTTATTTGTGTTTTTTGTATTTTAATGTGTGTGTTTTTACTTAATTTCATTTCATTTTATTTTATCTTATTTTATTTCACATTATTATTCATACAATAAATATTTTGCTTTATTTTACATTTTTTATTTTATTCCATTCAGTTTTATTTTATTGTTCAATAAATTTAATTTTTATTTTTGCACTTTTATTTTATATATTATTTTACTTAATGTAATTTAGCTGAATTTTAATTTAGATTTATTTTGTTTTTATTTATTTTTGTTATTTGTCTTTATTTTTTATTATATGATTTTATTTTACTTCACTTTATTTTATCTTGTTTTACTTTATTTCATTTTATTTATTTTATCCTACTTTCTATTTTATACTATTTTATTTATTTTTTTATATAATTTTATTTGTTTTTATGTAATTTTATTTTATTTTACTTTAGTTTATATTATTTTTTTTATTTTATCTTATGTTATTTCATTTAATTTAATTTAATGTTTTTTATATTTTAATTTACATTATTTTATTTTATTTTATTTCATTTTATTTTATTTTATTTTATTTTATTTTTATGATTTTATTTGAATTTACTTTATTTTATTTTGTTTTAATGATTTTGTTTGATTTCACTTTAGTTTGTTTTATTTGACTTTATGTAATTTCATGTAATTTATTCCCTTATATAATATATCTGTTTTGATGTTTTTCATTGATATTCGAACCACTTATTGAAATTGGTTTAAACTCAGAATTGACCTAAAACGGAAATTTCTCACACATTGTACTTAGCCAAAAAAGAATATATTTGTAAGCATTGCCAATAATTTAAAATTAATAATTAATATTTTTGGCTGATATGGTTTAATAACTAACAGTAAAATAGAAGTAACAAAAAAGTGCATTGGACACACATACATCTTTATATATATTTTAAGAACTTTTAAAGCTTATACTTTAAACTAATTTACATATATAAATCATCAACACTTATGTACGTTGTTATGTATGTACATATGTATGATGCTAATGTATGTCATACTGTTTTTTGTGTATAAGTGTATAAGTTAGTGTAGGTGTATCCGATATATTTATTTATGATATTAGCAACGAGTTTTTTATTGTTTTTACTTTTTTTCTGTGTAAATATACAAACATTTCTTTATTTAACGTAGTGTTTCTTATTTGTTCTATTTGTATACATTAGATTCGTGTACATTGTTAATTTATTCGTATAAATACTTTATCTCTATATATAATATGTTCATAAATATATTTATTTATATGTATGTATGTTTGTATTGTATATGAAAAGACTGCATAACCAGCCATTTTTTAAGCTAACAATTTGTCACTGCAAAAATATGTATGTATGTATGTTTGTGTTAGTATGTACGAACATGTGATTGATTTTAATAAGTGTACTTTCACAATATTTCTATAACTTTTATTAACAAATGTATTTGCACTTTAAAAACTATGCATTTTTCACCTTACTAATGTTGATTTATTTTTTATGTTTTAAAGTGGCGCACGAACGCGCAAAAACAATTTTGTAGCTGAAGCCGTAAGCATTTTACAACGTTTTCCTGCATATTTATATTTATATGAATTTCTTTACTTCCATTTTTCCATTTAGAAATGTAGATATATATTAATGTATTACATTCCAATATGTTCTAAGATGCATAGCAAACTGTTTCCTTTCGTTTTCGTTTAAATGCGACATGAAATCTCTTGTAAAATTCATGCAATTGCAATTGCGTTGGCATTTTTTTAAACTTTTGCACAAATTAATTTCATGATTTTGTTTATTTCAATGCTTTCTGCTTATAATATTTATTATATATTCTCCTTTTATTATTATTGTTATTTTTTCTTTTTTTTTTTGTTATATGATCATTTGAAGTTTATTAATTTTGTCAATATAAAATAATAATAATAATAATATAAAGGGATTTTAACAGAGTATTTTTCTAGGGAGAAATTTGTCAAAAAAAAAAATAATATGATGCGACACAGGATACAATAATTTAAAGATATTTTTCGTGCTACCAGAAAAAAATCCATCTTCTTTACATTGAAAAATATTCGATGCCGTAAAAAAATATTTGAAAATAAAAGAATTGAGATTTACGCATTTTATTCTACTGCCAGAATTCGCTTGCGATCTTGTCCTCATAGAGTTTAAAGATAGTTTTAGTAAGATATTCGCTTATTCGAACCAAACAGTTCCATCGCTGGTCCACTTCTCGGAAGAAATAATTTCCATAAATTGTCTTTGGAAATGAGCTATTTATATTTGAAAATTTAAGCAAACTCGAACCACAAGTAAGGCTTGTCTGAATAGATCGACTACAAGTTAATTTTCCGGAAGAAGGTGTGTTCTCCATATGAATCCAGCCAAACGACTAACCCTAAACCAAATTTCGTGTAAATCGAACGACATAAAAATAAATTCAATTTCCGGTTCTAGTCCTACTTCCCGGGAAATCATTTCTTGTCGAATGAATACGTCACATACAGAACACACCCTCCAATTTTGAGGTATGCAAGGCCAGTCGTTAAGCTGTGGATCAATCAGAACAAAGTTTTTTGTATATATGTAAAAGGGAAGAAAAAATAAATATTGAAAACAGAAATGAATAAACCTGAACTTATGAATTAACTGCTTACAACTTTAGTATGTGATCAACTTATGTATCAACATATGTACATATGTATGTACATAAATATATATTAATTAACTGTAATAAATGAACAAAAAATGCAAAAACCCATTCCTTTAAATGTGGCAACATCACGTTTAGTGTCCAAAAATTTTAAAGTTAAATCACCTTTAAATTTTTCTTGTCATTATGTAACACACCCGTAGATATATTTTTTAATTAATTATTAATTACTGGTTATTAGTCAGCTATTGAGGTTTTCATGCTTAGGAATTTCATTGATTAAAATTTTTTTATTCACTCTTTTGAATTCTACAATAATAGTTTTTATTTATTAAAAATGCGGCCCAAATTCAATTTCAACTCTACGCTATTTCCTTTCTAACTGAGAGCAAATCTATTATTCTTTTGGCAAATACATTTAGAATGTACAAATTTGTATATACATATGTTTGTATGTATGTATATGGATATTAATTACTACTAGTTCATATGTATGTGTTTGTCTACATTTATATTTTGATGCATGTATTTATATGTTTAGTATCGGTGTTTCTCGGTTCATATTTCATTTAATTTAAATTTCCAAAATTTTTTTTTTCTGTATTTACTGTTCATTTAACTTGGAACAGCGCAAAGTTTACATACAAACTTATATAACTCCCACAAGCGCAATTTGACGAGCTCAATAAATGGCATATTCTTCATATACGCCTTGGCTCTTAATTTATTTATTATCCTATGACATTGAAATGCTAATACTTCACTAGCCGTCTGAGTTTAATAGGTGGGCTGTTGATATTCCATGCCTTGTTGTTCCATACCTGTGTATAAAAAAAAAAAAAAAAAAAAATCAAAAATTAAATTTTACATGCCAAAGACTATTTTACCTTGTTGTTGTTGTTGTTGGCCACTAAACGGTGACGTGCTATATTGATCATTGTCGTTGTCCATGGAATAACTTGTGTAGGCTTGCTGATGCACCACGTTCGCTGGATCGGTTTCAAATGCGGATGTGAATTCATCACCGGCGCCGATCAGGAAACGTTTGTATGCCAGGAAAGCGCAAAGTGCCTGTGTGTTTAAGAGATTACATAATTAAATATTATAATTGAGAATATTTAACTATTATAAAGGTTGAGACAATCAATAAAGCGATGATATGATGCCAAAATAGCTGAGTGATTAAGATTGCGTACCAACATACGGAAAGCCAAGTTTGTAAATACGGCCGCCTTGCTCTCGGCAAGGAAGGTCAAGCCATCCGAGTGTACGAGTATTTCTGATATAAAATAGGAGCAGCTCATAAAAATCCATCGGCCGTAGATCTATCCACTTTATTGGAAAATCATAAAGACACAAACCGCAAATCGGAGGAGAAGTTCGGCCGAAAATCATTTCAGCGGTTACAAAGTGCTAATTATCTATTATTTGGGATGTATGGGAAAAAGGTGTCGTTTTCGGACTTTTCAAAATTACCGTTATAAGGGAGGCGATTGTGATTTTGTCCGATTTCACCCATTTGCAATCAGTACTTGAGATCCAAAGAGCCTGTTTTCAAGCCAAAGTTTAAGTCCGAAATTTTTTAAAATATCCCAACCTTTGCTTGAATTATAGTGTATGCGGAGGGAATCGAATCGTCTCGTCATCCCAATCAGTTTGATATAAATATATGTTATATGTCCAGAAGAAGGAAGCTTATGATAGTGACAGATATCAACATCTTAACGTGCGAAACCGGAAAAGGAATTATTAATAAATAATAATAACAATAAGAAAGAAACTGGACACTAAAAAAGATGAGCCACCAAGGACTTGTGGTCAAGCTAAGTGCAGGGTACGTTGAAGCGGAATACAGGTATCGGCTCAGTAGGTGGCCAACGAATCAGAGCATGAAATGAACAAAAACAATCCGATCTGAGGCTGCATCGCTGCACGGGTAAAAATGCAGCTTTTGGACACGGCTTTACCGCATCGATGGGGCCGAAACGACCGGCACTGCCAAATTCTTTTTTTTCGGACGTCTTCGGCTCTTGGAATCCACAGCCACCACAAGCTGGTAAAAAGCCTATGCCCTTGAATGAAAAGCAAAACATCGGCTGGGACCCGGGAGGCACGTATTGACAGGCCCGCACCGGGAAAAGGAAAGCAGGAGATGCGAACAGGAAAGTCTGAGAACATAGTACAGTCGATTGGTAGACTGCTTTGGGTGCAGTGTTATATTTGGAAATTTTTGAACTATTGTAGTTTTCTAATGGTTCATGTTGAGATAAAAGATCTAATGATATTTTGCAGAGATGCATATGAAGTGCACCTTTTATGGATTATTGATATTCATTAATATTATATGCATATGTTTTATTTTTCATTTTTTGAACCCATCAATCATACTGACTGGATCATGTCCACAGATCAATTCTTGTTGGAGTTAAGCTAAGCAGGGAATGTTTTTCATATAACATGAACAACTTACAACTGCTGGTGTCTTGAAAACTAAGTACCTTTGAATAGGCAACAATCTTCTGCGGATAGGCCATCTAAGGCAATAAACTTTATCTGCCATGAAAAAAACGAAAAGGTTTCAGAATCACGATCTTCCACAGCAGCAAACATTGTAAGCCTATCTCCCAGAGCTTATTTGGGAAGCTCTTATACATCCGTCTAATAGCCCGTACTTGGTGATTACGATTTGTTCCTCTCTATGGCGAATGAGTTGGCTGGTGAAGAATCGCAATCAAGGAGAGCCTGTGAAAATCGATTACCCCATTTTTTAATGAATAGGGACAAGAGTTTCTAGCTATCTAGCAAACGATGCATATTTGACATAGAACGGGTAATTCTAACTACGGTAAATCAAGACGAAAATTTAATGCAAAAATAATGCATTATTTGTTACTAGACCAATATTTTCTATTCACATAAAAGTGTTGTTACTCACCCACACAAATATTGATAAGAATGCAAAGAAAATAGCCGCTTCCATATTACTGGCGCCAACACCGCCTGGTGGCATAGGCGCGGAGGACCATTGTGACCATAAGTAAATGAATGCAATGAAATACATGAAAGCCCAGAAAGCTAAAAGGCAAAGTTAATAGTTAAATTTTAATTTAATTTTTGCACTCAACAACACGTACGTATACACATACATGCATATGTATGTATGTGTGTATATAATGCTTAAACATGTCTAATGGGCAATCAACTATAACTACATACATATACATATACACACATCATAATACATACGCGCATGTAAACCTCAGCACAACAACACCACTCACCTGAGAAACCCATATCCGCCATCACATAACGTTTCCGACTCTTCACCGATGACATACGTTCAAACAGGTACTCACCAACGATGAAAGCCATCGACGCTAGAAAACCGAATACACCAACTGTATTGCCATATTTGCACGCCATACCATCGCCATTGTACAGACACACTTCCTTGCCGTTCTCGTCGGTGCGCCAACCCTCCGATGATATGCAGCCGAAGACAACGATAGAAAAGAGCTAAAAGGAAAATGAGAATCATAACGTAATGTGAAAATCCATACAAGGAAATTATTTTTATATATAATATATATATATATGTGTGTTTGTGTGTGTGTGTATTCGTATGCATGAATGCATAATGGAACGAAATAAATTATTATGCAAGCGGTTGGCTGAGTTTTCAATTATAAAACTCTCATTAAATGAGAATATATATATGTATATATGTGTTTAGTTAATAGAATGGCAGCAAAAAAATATGACTTAGAGAATTTGTGAAGCTTCAAAATTATATTTGATAAATAATAAGCAAAAATTTTTTTACTTAATAAAAGTTATATGGCATTTCACTCATAAATTTTTAATTTTTAAAACATGTCATAGTATATGTAATTATAAAATATATAAAAAACACTATATTGAGAAGTGATTTTCGAAAGTCTCATAGTTTACGTACTCTCTTACACATCGACCATATTGAATATTGACCAATCCTTGAAAAGTGCACCTTGAACCATATTTTTGCCCACACATACACGCTCGCAAGCTAACACAAACTTATTTACACTTGGCAGAGCTTCATGCAAGCAATAAACTTTTATTTTTATTGAACTCGATTGGAATATAAAATATCTAAGTAAATTGTACGTGTCTACTAGCAGTTAAGACCGCAAGGATTAAACTTAGTTTAAGTTCAAAGTAAATTGTTGAATTAACAATAAATAATGGAAATAACAAAATCTACTATTTTTTAATTAAATAGTTTAGAAATGAAATGGTTATAAGTTTATTTAAATTTTATTAGTTTTACGAGTGTAGTTTTTTGCGTCAGAAGGTTTGATTCTCTTTCGTGTGACATCCTTTGACCTGGGCTAAGAGAAGGACAAGACGAAATATATCTTATCATCAAACACGTTGACAGTCGTAACTTTACAGTGTTAAATTTCAACTATCCAATTTAGTAGGCGATTGAAAAGTACGGACCTCCGAAACCAAACCAAATTCAACGTTGGGCTAAGCCGCATGGTTAGTATTGCATACTGTCATTCTGAAGACCAGGGATCGAGGCCTGATTCGACCAATATATTAAATTATAGAAAAACAATTTTTATAAATGCAGTCTATGGGGCTCAGTTGTAAGACCTCCGCGTTAAAAAATTTTAACTGGGATGCGTACAAAAATCGTCACCCTTACAAAAGTCGTTTACGGCTTATTAATCTGTTTACACCCCATTGCCGTAGAAACATGCTTGGAGTTGTAGGTAAGGGGTGATATCAATAACCCACTTAGTGAGCTTAACTTTAACAACCCTTTAGGATCATCTAGACACTTTAGGCCACTTTCATTGTAATCATGCAAAGCAAGCTTTGAAATGCACAAACCTTTTAGACATTTGTGCAATGACTTTAACATTCAATTCAGTCAGCATTGATTCCTCTGACTCGGTCTTCTGTGTCAAAATCTACTAAGATACGAAGAGCTTTAAATAGTTACGTAATTTTCTTTTCCTTTTCCCATTTAATATATAGCGGTTGATGACCAAATCTGTAGTGTGGCAAGTGTAACCGTTACCCTCCGCGATCGGTCTCTGGTTTCTGGCAGTCCGAAGTGTGTCTAAAGTATGAGCAAAGACAACAACCGGCAAGCCGATTTCTGGAGCTTTTGAGAGAAAACCTTGCCAGATGAAGGTATTTTACGAAGTTTAAGAAGTCCTTGTTTAAACTACCACTAAATTTTCTCCGCACAGCGAATTTGTAAATATTTAAGACATTCTCTGGAAGAGATCGGACTAAACAGAGGAGGCGTTTAACGTCTCACTCATACCAGCTTTCCTGCAATTCGTACATACATATGTCAATGCCCATTCTGCTTGGTTGCATCAGGCCTACAACTGTCCTGCAGTCTTCCAAAAAGAAAGAATCGCAGAAAATGTACAAATGTTCCTTTACTTAAGGGCGATAGCTCAAGTATGAGAAAGAGAGCGACATTGACATAATTTAGCGAATAAAGAGACACTGGCTAAATATTGTCGTCCAGATAATCGAGAAGACTACTCTAAAAGCTTTCGATGCAGCATTCATAGGCGGAAGTAAAGAAATGGAAAAAACTGTTATGAGAATTAGTCTAAAATTACACGTAGTGTTAAGCTAAACGGCCGGTCGTAAAGCTACGATTTTTCGACTTGAAAAGATAGAAGAAGCAGAAGTAATCAGATGCAATGTGGACTTTAAATTTATTGCCATTGAAGAAAAGTACGCTTCGCATATTTCATTGGAGCACCTATAAAACGAACCAAGATGTTGAACCTAAGTAAGCGTATGTTACATGATGATCGATTCAAATCCATACGAAGTCATAATCGGTAAATATCGCTGCAGCGTTAACAGGAAAAGGTTTTCAGCGGCAAAATATGCATAATGCGATCGCAGAAAAGGCTAAGGATCGAGTCCTGGTTCGACCAACATCCAAAATAAATTTTTCCAATTGCCATTTCCATCGTGGAATCTTAAGCCCTCCGAGCGTATTTCTGACACAAAATAAAAAGATGACAGAAAAATCCAACGGCCGATCGGAAGTGGCTTAAAACTGATCTAGTGGGAACAAGGCCAATAATCATCGACCGATTTTAATCGCGGCCGCGATAGCCGAGTGTTTAGCATTGCGTACTGACATTTGGAAGGCTCGGGTTCATATCGCGGTGTTCTAATTGAGGTCGCCCCTCGGCAAGGAATGTCCACCTCTCCGAGTGTTTTTCGGACATGAAAAAAGCTCCTCGTAAAAAAAACTATCAGCCGTTCGGAAGCTGTTTAATATAAACTGTAAAACCCTCCATTTGCTTGAAAAATATCAAGACGCAAAACGAAACAAATTGGAAGACGAGCTCGGCCGAAAAATCGCTTCAGCGGTTACAAAGCGTCAACTAACCTGTTAGTCGGAATGTCGGAGGTTTTATAAATGGTCATACCCAAATTATTGAAAATTAATTGCGACCGGCGCTCGGCAGGAAATGTCATCCCATCCGAAAGGATTTCTGGCATAAAATAAAAGTTCCACGTAAAAATCGATCAAGAGGCTAGAATAAGCTGTGAGTCTCTCCATTTTTGGGGAAAACGCCCGCCATTAATAAGAAGATTAGCTAGGGCGAAAATCGCTTCAGCAACTGCAAAGCCTCCTTACACATGCTCTAAAGCTGACATTTCAAGCTTTATTTTCCAAGCAGATAGTTCGGTAAGTCGTCACTCGTGTGGGAAAACTAGTTCATGAGCTTGGTTTTTTTTTACTATAAAAAAAAAAAAATTAACGTAGCTTCGGTGCGAAGTTCTGATGCTCCCACGAAAGAGACCATACAGCTCTTTCATCATCTCACCATAAATGTTTGCATTTTCTGCAAAACTCTGTGGTAAAAAAATGGCCGATGGAAGTACCATTCTTTAGAAGTTCTACACTAATGAAATTATGAATCTGCCCGAAAAATAATAAATTAAATTAAACCACGGAAGAAGCTACTAATTCATACTATAGTGCAGGAGACAAGTGTTCTTTAAAAACTCTCTTGAATAAGTCTCCACTCAAACTCCGGAAAAGCAAAAAAAAAAAAGAAAAAAAGATTCTTCACTATTATTACTTTCTTTTATGCCTCATAGGAATAATATCTAAGTGTGAGAAGCTTTTCTCTTTGATCTTTAGTAATTGGCAATAACTTTTAATGTAATCTCATGCAACTATAATCAGCAGGAAGCTGTATGTATCATAAAGCGCTTTTTTTACATATATAATAGTATATAAGAGTATATGTATGCACATAGATGCATATGCAATATGCGAATATTTCTCCTTTAATACAGCACGTGCACTCAATGTTATCGTCCATTATTGAGAGGCACTTCAACCAAAGCATCAATATCCATAGCAACAACAAACAAATTGATGTGTTTCATTGGTGAATATAAACAAGTAAAAGCTTTTCGCACAATCGCGTGTATAGCCCACTTATTAGCTCACTCTGTTATATGTTCTACGCGCCCACAAAACTAATTCGTCAAGTACTCATACCCATACCACAGTGAGGTTATCCAATCGCCATCATTTTTATGCTTCTTTTTTACAGCAAACACTTTTCTTCTACTATTCTTCATTTACGTCTTTTCCATTGCCCCACACAATGGCTATTCTCTTCTTTTACGTCGTCTTTGCCGCCTTCATTCTTTTTGTGCCATTGTTATGTGTCACAAAAGTAATGGTGATGGTGGAATGTCGTAAAAAGTCTTCTGCTCTACTTATAGTTAAATACAGTTTTTTTCACTTGAAATGTAACAGTAGGAAGTAAAACTTGGTAAAGGAAAGGAAAGGAAATAAGGCACACAACAGTATCTTCAGTCATTCATTTACGAACAGCATACATATGGGCGTTTCCAAGCTGACATGACGTGGCAATTGATTTTCGGCCGAGCTTCTCCTCTAATTTTTGTTGTGTGTCCTGATGTTTTCCCTACAAGTGGAGGGACCTACAGTTTATCCTAAGCCGACGCTGAACGGCTGAAAGATTTTTACGAGGAGATTTCAGTTAAAATAATTCATTTTCTATAATTTTTGGATGTTGATCGGACCAGGACTAGAACTTTAGCCTTCCGTACGTTAGTACAGAGAGTATACATATATATGCGGCTACTGCTGCTACGTATACGTACATACATACATAAATGAAATGTCATATGACATCGCCACAGCAGTTAACAAAATTAGTTTTATTTCGTTTTTATCCGAAACAAAATGCTATCGTTCATGTTAAATCGTTAACAGATAATGTTAAACGTTAAAATTTAAGTGTGCTGTTAATAACTGTGTTCGCTGAGAAATTTCAGTAAAATTTGCCAGTTAATAAACTGAGAGAGTAAGGCTGCAACTACCCAACTCACGTACCAGCCGTCCATAGTACTTATCTTATGAGAGCGCCATGTAAACACAAAGTTGTCACCGCTTGCCCATGCCGTTAGTGACGGTTGTTCCGCAAAAACCA